GGCCCTGGTGGAGGGTCAAGCCACCTTCACTGGGGGCAGACAGGGCCCCAAACAACAGGCCTGCACGCCAGGCAGGACCCAGGCTTCTTGCAGGATTTGCGGACGGGTGGGCTCTACACAAAGAGAGGTGGGAGTGGGGAACAAGCTGCCCAGCCATGTGGTTAAAGCTGATTCTTCCAAGACACAGCTGGAGAAGACCCAGAGGTCAATCAGTTACTAACTCTGGTTTGTAACCCGCGTGTTTTTATGATCACACCCCCATCGCTCCTGATCTGCTCCAGAACCGTGTGGTCTAAGCAGTTACTCTGGGGGTGCGATTTGAAAAACTGTGCGTTACAGCCGGGGGGCTGTGGAGGGGGGACGAGCGCCGTTCACTTTAAAACGGGTGCGATCTCACACTGGGGGTAAACACGGGTTCACCTCCCAGTGCAACATCGCAACATCGCAACCGCAAAGGCTCCTGCGTTAGTTAAACAAGAGAGCAAAACCCGCACAAACACAAAACGCCCAGACAAAACAAAAAGTATGGAAAAACCATATTAACCCTTATTTTCTTATTTTAGCAGGAGAGCAAGCATCGGTCTGCAAGTTTCTGTTGTAGACAGAAAGCCGATGTCACGGCCTCGGTTTTGTTGAGACTCCCCCCCCCACCCGCCCCCATCTCTCATTTCCTGTCTCCGCGGCTGGCCGTATCCCATGGCGACGGTGAAACCGTCTTGCCTCAGACATGGCCGTGCCTGAGAGGCGACACGGCACCGCGCCAGGCAGGAAGGATTTACCAGAACATCCTCCGAGAGACAGACCTCACATCCATCCTCCTGCTCACTCTGTCCTAAACTGTGGGCTTAGCTCTGCTCTGTTTCGGGTGCAGGCCAGCTCTTATAAGACCTGGCAGCCCTGTGCCCTTCCCTGCACGCACACAGTCGCGTTCGGCTGCAGAGGGAGGACAACGGGCCCCTGCAGGGGGCAGGGCCACAGCCCTGCAACGCAAAGGCCTGGGCAACAGGGCTCAAAGGAAGTCAGGCAGTCTCGGGGAAGAGGAGCTGGAGGAAGTCTGCAATCAGGAGAAAACAGAAGCAGTTTGGGAAGACAAAGTAATGGGTTTGCTAATAATGCATTTACCTGGGGTTGTTCTGTTTTAAATTAAGGCTTTATTGAGGATGGAAAGTCAAACAAGCAGTTTATTAGCCCCCAGTTTCCTGTGTAGCGACGCTGTGCGGGGGTGGGCGGCTTGTGAATTAAAAACTAAAACATGATTTAACAAGTCAGCTTCTCGTTCCCTTTAACGACCGCAGCGGCGATCATGCAGGACCAAAGACCAGACCCGACGCCGCCCCGCCTCAATCAGAAAGCACTCGGGAAACAAACGCCAACACCGGGTCCTGCGCTGGGGGGCAGACGGAAGAACCCGATGGGCCGTCTCCTCCTAGCACCACGCGAGCCGGACTCAGTCAGGGGGGAAAAGAACCACCAAGGGACAGACACTTCGTTCTGCGTGTCTGAAAGGGGTGGGCTTTCACACCGAAGGTCTGTAGATGTGTGGATCACAGGCACCGGGCGAGACTCTCTGCTCCACGAAGAGTCCCTGTGGATCTTGGAGCAGGTGAACCAAGTTCCAGATCAAGGCACTTAAACGAGCACTCAAGAACCCAGACTGCAAAACATTTTTTTCTGCTGGATGTTAAATTCTTTTTAACCTTGGATGATTTTTTTTTTTTTTTTGCCCACCATTCTTCACTTCTTTGGCCAGAAAAGGCAAGCAAGATGTCCCCGTTCCTCTGGTTCGGCGTGTGACGCAGGCGGTGCAGGGGGCGCTTGAGGTGTGCGTGCGCGCCCCCTGCCGTCAATCTTGGGGTACTGCAGACGGCGCTGCCGGGCTTCAGGATGTCCGATTCGCGTTCAAGCCGGGTTCTGAGCTTTTTAATTACACAGTGTAGGAAGAAAAGCTCGGGGAAGACGGAGGGGCTGCAGGCCGTGAGGTGTCCAGCTCAAGGAACTCGCTGCTGCTTTGTGGGCGAATGGAGAGCTGTTCCTGTGACGGGTTCGCTACAACATACAGCACCTGCCTCCCCAAACGCAGTCGGCGTGCCCACCTGTACCGACCGGACTCGTTCTCCAGGGGATTTACTCACAAGTCAATAAAAGCCGCCGAGGACGCACTGTCAAGTCTTACGTTCACGACAATCGCGTAGCAACGCCAGTTGTCCTCGTTTTAGAAGCACGCGCGGTGAGCTGCCGTTTTACAAGCACGATGCTTGTCTTATAGATTTAAAAAAGGGAGGGGTCATGCGTCGGACTTGGCGAGCTGCTTTCGCCGGCCCGGCACAAACCAGCGAGAGTTTGGGGAAATATTCTTTCCCGGCTTCATGACTACTTTCAAGTTTCATTTCCCAGTTTCCACATTGCAAAGCGGCCCCGTGTTCTCTCCTGACCTCATCGCCCTCCTCCCGCCTCCCTCCCGCCCTCACGGCCGCGACAGTTAGCCGTCTTTCAGGTCACTTTCTCCTTGAAACAAACAAGGCCGCCTTACCCGCCCGTGCTGGCCTGCTCGCCGTGCTGCGCCCGGTGGCTCTCCACCACACCCTCGCCGCCCGGGGCCGCACCCTGGCTCTCCCCCGGGGGGCTCCGGGCCTGCCCCGCCGCCTTCAGCCGCAGGACGGAGCTGTAGTGGCTGTCGGGCGGCCCCGGCGCTGGGGGGCTGTCCGTCTCGGAAACGTCACCCCGAACCGGCGGCTGCTGGCGCTCCAAGTCCGGGGAGCCCGGGTACTGGGACCACGACCCGTACTCCGAGCCCAGCGTGAGCATCCTCCAGCTGCTGAACGTAGCCGAGCGGACCGCTGCGAACAGAAACACACGTCGGGCCCGGCTCGGCAAAACCGGCGGGGGGGGGGGGAATTTTTCCTCACAGCGCCTCCTTCTGGGTTCCGGTGTTCCGCTCTTATTTGCCCGTCAAACCCCCCCCCTCCTCCTCAGTCTTTCAACCGCCCTATAAGACGCCCCTCTCTCCCCTCACCGGCCATCGACGCCGCCGGGCGAATCCGGGTTCAAACCGAACCGCCAAGAGCCGTTAGAAAAACGCGCTCGAGCGGCGTCGCGGTGGGCGTGCGTCACTTCCGCAGCGGGAAAGAGGCTCCAGTGCGAGCGACCCCCCGCGCCCAGTGCAGAGGTCATGACCTCAGGGCGGGAGCGTGTTTAGCAGGAGATCAGAGGAAAAGGATCAAATGGGACGTTATTAAAACAGCCGGAGACTTTCCGCCCCTTACCGGACCTGCAGTTGTGTTCGTTTCAGTAAGTTCTATTCGATAATGGCCACACAGCCGGCCAGTATCCTACCGTACACCAGTGTGGACCGCCTTTCGTCCCATTTTGTGTGCGATCTTGTGCGTCTCATCGGAGCTCCGGCCTCGCTGGGGGGTGACTTCCTGTCTGGAGACTGTCCTGTCTTGGAGCTGCAGAAGGGAGCTGTCCCACACGGCGATTATTCCTGCCGTATATCCCCACCGGTGCCCTGGTGCCCTGTGGCCCTGCGGAGTATCTGATCCACTGTGACAAACCAGCCACAGGGGAGCCCTCCCCTTCCCGAGCAAGCAAGGGCTCGCTGCTTCCTCCTGGTAATCAGGAAGGGAGCAATCATCACATAGTTTATACAGCTAAAAGCCCGCTGACATACCCTTCGCGTGCCTGCGTGCTACTGGGAGGTTTCCTTTTACATTGAAACTGCTCAGTTCTCAGGAAGACAAGGCTGCAGTGGTCCACCTTTTCCAAAGCTGTTGCACCTCACCGTCGGCTCACATTAAGAGGAGGAAAGTTACTTGTTGGGGTATCTTCTAAAGCAGTGCTTAATCCAACCTTGCCCCTGGGGTACTCCTGTGTCTCCCTTCTCTCACTCCAGCTGAGCTCTTTGTCAGACGTGTTGGACCCTTAATTCAACTTGGCCTGGTTTTGAGAGGCTCACCAGCAGTGGAACACATTGTTAACGATCAGAATGACCCGTTTGCGAAATGCGAACGTGACAGAGCTCCTCCTGTTTGGGATTATTGTACGACCAGGTTGCATTTAACACAAGTCTATAAATCACGAAGAACGACTAAAATGTGAGCAACTGTAGGAGGTTTTTCTAACCATGGGGAGATCTTTCCTGCTGTATTTTACTGGTAATACTACACGCGCGAGAGAGAGATTATTCGAAACCCAAGAAATGGTCGCAGAAAATAATTTAACCGATGGCTCAATCTTAACTTCATTAATCTCGAATTTCACATAATTTAAGAGCTCAGCTGGAACAAAAACCTCAAACTGTTTACTTGTTTTCTCGTACATTGGCTAGTGTTGGTTTGTATATTGTCTTGATGCACTGCCTGCACTTTGTGTTTTTACACTTGGTTTAACAATCGAGAGACTTTCTGTCAGTAAGAACTCCATTGTACCAGTACATGTACAGGTTACATATGGCAATAAAGTTCAAGTTCAAGAGACTGAGGCCTTCCAGCTCAAGGGTGGGGTTGCTTGGTGTTGCAGGTCTCAGGAGTCTGAGAGCAGCGCTAACTGTGGGTGTGTGAAACAGTGCAGTTCATACAGGCAAGTGGTCTGGATACCCCTGTACAGGGGGCTCTATACTTGCAGCATTGCACATCAATTTACTACCAACACTGGTAAAACCACGGCGGTTTCATTAGTAGTAAATTTATTGGAAAAAAAAAAGAAAGATACAACCAAGGAGACTGAACATCTCAGCTTACTCTCCAGAAATCGGTAACAGAAAGTAATCTTATTACATTTTTTTGTATTTAGATCTTAGAGAATTTGCACTGAATACTATATACTGTACTAAACCACTTACTTTAGAAAAAAAACATGAGGGGGAATAGTGTAGTTTTACCATCAACAGAGAATGAGGGGAGGGAGGGATCATACAGGCTACCTACAATACTACAGTTAGAAAAATTGACCGTAAAATTCAATGTAAAAAAAACGAACATTTTTTTTTTGTATTTTACAACTTGTTCTCACTTTGCAAGTATTAAAAAAAATAAACCGAAAAAGAAAACACCGTTATATCAGCACCATTGTCTTTTGTCCCCTCCCCCCAGCACATTCGTCTACTTTTGTTGTGTGGGTTTTTCCGTTTTAGAAAGTTTGTGTTGTCGTTTTTTCCAACTCCCGTTGCAAATGTCCCATGGAGGTGTTGTCGACAGACGGGGGGTTCTTGCTTCGAAGAATCCAGAGGAAAAAAAAAAGAGGGCAAGTCAGTCTGTTGTTCAGGTAGCATGCTTCACCGAACAACCACCCGCCCCTGACCCATGCTTGCCAAGCGCTTCGATACTGGTCTTCTCCAGCGTCGCGGTGGGGGAAGAGAAGAGGAGGAAAGCAGCTGTGCAGAGGACCGGGCTGCCCTGGCACCAGAATCGGGGCCGCCCAGCGCCAGTCCCGCGCACGGAGAGGAGGGGGGCGGAGGGAGAGGAGGCCTCTGACGAGACAAGTCGGATCCGGTGAACGTCGGTCCACAGATAAAAAGGGGAGGGAGGGAAATGCGGAGGAAAATCCCGGAAACGCAGAAAGGGAGGCGCTGGCTTGCCGGGAGCAACGCCTCCAGCCCACCGCTCGCTCCATTCATCCCCTCGGGAGGTGCGGAAAGCGACTGTCGCCATCGCTTCATCGTGAAAGCTACATGATTTCGCTCTAGAGGAAAGAAAAGTTCCAGAAGAAGTTCTGCACCCAAGAGCTGGTGGCTTGGAGATATTAAAAAAAGGAGAAAACCTATGTGCAGAAACTGAAGATTATGCGCTGTTTTTTGTAGAATGAGTTGACGTGTCCAGCCCATCTGCTACACAAGAGCATTCTGGGTAAGAGTGTTGGCCATTTTTCGAGTCGGTTCAACTGGTTCTTTCCTATAAGGAATGGCATTGCTACACCTCGCCGATAAGAACGCTTATTCCAATAAATAATTCAAAGTACTATTATCGCCAAAGATATTTCTGATGTAAATATGACGTATGGTGGATGCTGGAGGTAAGGGCTGCAGAGGCAACTGAAGGAAAAAAGGCAGAAGTGTCCAGCTCACATGCTACAACAGCATGCTGGGTTCCCTGTAACTCTCCAGATTTTCTCTTGGCAGTAAACCCCGCCACCCTGACAAAAAAAAACTCATGTCCTGTGGCGTCTTGACCGCTGACCAGTCCGGAGCGAAACGCTGGAGGAGTCCGGAAATTGATTTTTTTTTTTAAATCAAGGTATAAAACCTAAAACAAGAGAGGCACCCATGCTCACTACCCACTGGAGGTGCGCGTCCCAGTCGGCGATCTCTGAATGAAGAACGGTCATCCCCCGCCACAGCCGCCGTCCAGTGCGCTAACCTGCTAGTGTTTTGGGTTCCCGGGCCGCTCTGGGAGAGGCTAGGTGCGGTTCGGCCGTGACCGTGTTTGGCGGGGCTGTAGGGGAAGGGAGTCTCGAGTCTCGAAGTGCTCCTGTGCTGGACTGCTGTGGGCAGAGGGAGGCTGGCTGGCTGGCTGAATGTCTGGCTGGTTTCGCTGGCTGGACGTCTGCGCCCAGCAGAGCCTCAGGAGGGGCTGGAGGGGCTGGAGGGGGCGGCGGCGGAGCTGGTGTCGGGCAGCGCGCTGTGCGGGGCCTCGTCCGGCGTGCTGTCGGCCTGCCTCTGTGCGATGGCCGCCGCCGAGTGCTTGCACTTGGGGGAGGAGCACAGGCAGCTGAAGTACTTGGACTTGACCTCCCAGAAGCGGTCGCCGTAGTCGAACCTGCGCGGGAGGCGGAGCACAGACACGGGCATGTCAGAGCACTGGAAAGGTGAGCAAGGACAAGCTTAAGCCACTCATTTTTACAAAACAAGAAGAGATCCCATGTATTAGGACAAGCATTAAATGAAGCTTGGGGATGTAAACGAACCTTATCTCCACTGGTCCATTTCAAAGGCTAAAGAACTGCGCTCAGATAAGCCGACATATACTAGCCCTTCGCTGGGAGTCTCCCCTGAAGCATGGCCCCAGAGAGAGAGATTCAGCACTAACTGAAAACACTCATTCCTTGGACTGTGGGAGGTTAACTGGCTTCTAGGGAAAACTGGCCCTTATGCGAGCGCGTCTGTGTGTGCGCGCCCTGCATTGGACTGGTGTCCCTCCCAGGGCGTACCCTGCCTTGTGCCTGCTGCGTGCCCCGTGACCCTGAACTGGACGAGGGGGTGAGAAATCGCAGGGATGAAAGCATTAAAAGTGCACCGACACCTGCAGTGAATCTAAATGTGCGCTCCGGCGAGTCCGCACGCAGAGGTGCAGTTAATCGTGCGATTAACTCTAATGATACACGTCGGGACACTGATCTGCTTCTCCGGCCCCCTCGGTCGGTGCAGTCGTACCCGAGCTCGTCCCCCGCGGAGATGTCCCGGGTGCTGAAGAAGGCGATGCGGGGGAAGCGCAGGTCCTGGTGGGAGGTGAAGACCCGCACGGGGAACAGGTTGGGCTCACACATGTGGTTGATGAACCGGCTGACGTTCCCGTAGAAGCGCGCGTCGATGCAGTACACGTCCCCCACCTGGACAGGCGGACACGGGACACGGGGCGTCCATCCACACGCACACACAGGAGCAAAGACAGACAGACAGACAACGGGCTCGGGTTAGAAGCCGGCAAAAAATAAATAAATACCGACCTGCGGGAAATTCTCTACCTGCGGTTCTTAGAAAGAGACCTAAGAAGAGATGGCAGTTCAACAACAACAAAAAACAACAGTTCATAACTTAAACATCTAAAAGCTTCACCTCCTCCTGATTGGCTGGTGGGAACAGAAATGAGCAGCTAGATTAAAAATGCAATTAGGCATGAAATGAGAAACCTCACCGTAATTAGCGAGAAATATTTTGCTGACAAGCAGCTGCAAGGCATCACCATGTTGAGCAGCCTGCCTTGCCCATCATAGCCTCTTTTCCTGCATGAGTTATGAGAGGAGCACTGTGTTCCTGCCTCTGTAGAGCTTCCTGTTCTCCTCTCAGCTGCACAGAAACCGGCGTCTACCCTCCCTGCCCCCCTCCCCTACGCCCATCCCCGGATTTCCTGGAGGAAAAGCCATGACAACAGATTTGTCGCCATGACGATCCGCATCCAGCCCTGACCATGCAGGCCAGCCAGAGTGCTCGGCTATATATAGACCTCTCCTGCCTGTACTAATTGTGTACCTTTCTTTATTAAAACCCCCCCCCTGCGCCCCAGTTGCGGTTTTGAATTTCAAGGAAAACACCCTGCCCCCTTTCCCCCCAGAGAGAATTTAATTATTGAAGCACAGGTCCTGCGTCACCTCAGAAAAGAAAAATGATACGGTCAAGGATGGAAAAGCAGACCCTCATGGCAAAACCAGAACCCGGCTTGACTCCAGACTGGAGCCCACTGCCACCTGTATCCAACAGACTACCTTGTTGTCTAGGTCAAAGAGGTACGAGTCGTCCTGCCTGACGTCTGCCTCCGAATCGGAAATAAGCTCCCCGACGTACCTGTCCAGAGACAAAGGAAAACCGCATTGAGGAGAGCGAGCGTTGGCCGAACGGGCTGGCAGATCCGCCTAGCGAGAGAGAACGTCTGGTGCTGGGAACTCTCATACCTTAACCTCAAAGCCACGGAAAAGCTAATGATTTGCCGTGCAGCTGAATACAGCTTTTACGTGTAGATACGGCACGGAGGAGGGGGAGGGGGAGAATTCCTCGCCGTCATCGAAGACATTGCATGCAGGTCAGGCCCAGGCGATCTGCGCTACTTGGAAAGGCGGTTTTAGATGGTTGGGTTTTGTACACATTTGTAGCCCCCATCGATTTGGGATCTGCAGTCAGGGGGTGGGGTCTGTGCAGCTCTCACTGGCACAGGGAATTATTAAGCCTTCACTGGCTCTGCCATCACTCAGGAGCTCATTACCGCGGTCTCGCGGCAACACCGCAAACGAGAGGGGCGTCCCGGCCTGTCGGGCGCACCTGGGCCTGTCAGCAACGTGTCGCTCCGAGGACGTCGCCCTGCGGCTTCTCGTTTCTCACCCGCGCGCCGCCCGCAAGCGGCAGCGGCTCTGCGCCGGGACACGGCGCGCGGAGCCTGGACCGCGCCGGGCGCGGACTCTCGGGTGGGGTGGCGGGGGACTCACTCGCACACGAACGTGCCCTGGGGGATGTCCTGCAGGGTCCGCACTCCCCAGCCCATCTTTCTGGTCCGAAAGAGCTGCAGCCGTGTCCTGTGGAGAGACGGCGGGCGGCCGTTACAGATAGACCCCCAGCGGCCCGCCCGCGGCCCGGGACCAGCTCGAAAAGAGTGAACAAGCTCGTTACTCGACAGGTCTGCCTCCCTCTCAGACGCAAAGAGAGATGCCGCGAAAGAAACAGCCGTTTGCCGTTCCTTCTTTTAGTACGACTGCGGCAAGGCTGCCTGTGTTTATTAATGCAGTAAGTGGACAACAGAGGCTGTAAGTAAGTAATTAAGGGGTAAGTTTAGAGCTCAGGCTCGGGGAGGAATTCAGTCAGGACGCTGATGTTGACACCCTTGCTCTGATGAACAGCCCAGGACGCACGAGGATAATTCAAGTTCCTGACACCCCATATGAAGGACAGCCCCCCTTACGGCACAGAGACCCCTGTGGCCACAGAGACCCCTGGCACCACATTAGGGCACAGGTGTGGAAATCCTGGGCCAGATGGAAGAGGGAAAGGCGCCGCCTAGTGGTCCTCTAACGCAGCAGCAGTCTGGGTCTCCCCCGTCCCAGGACCGACCCGGCCCGGCCCTGCTGAGCTTGAGACCAGGCTAGCGGGTGACCCGTACCCCCCCCAGCCTCCTTCACGGGGACGCCGGCCGCCTACCGCAGTCCGTTCTGCACCACGCGGTTCCTGCAGGTCCTCCAGCACGAGCAGGCGTGGTTGCACTCGAAGATGAGCGGCGGCTCCTCCCGGCAGAACTCCGGCTGCAGGCGGCCCTCCTGGACGCGGACACACAGACGGGGTCAGAGCGCTCGCCCGGTCACTCGCCCGCACCCCCGTGACCGGGTGCTTACGCCTGCGGTGTGTTAGGGAGGAGGCGAGCGCCACCGCGAAAGCTCAGGCCTGGTGCAGAAGTTTCTGTGCACGGCCAAGCTCCTGGATGCTGGCGCGGGCTTGTGGCCGCTCCATTTTGTGCCTGGTGTTGTGCTGCCCACATGCAATCATTCCCGGACGTCCAGCACTGGCTCCTCACTCAAAAGAATCCTGTCAGTACTGTGCAATATCTGCTTGGGCGTGAGCACTATCTTGTATGATGCAGTAGGGTTGGACAAGCCCTGTCCCTGTACAGCACAGTAGGCAACCACTAGATCATCACGTTCTGTAGACTTAATTTCAATGTGATCAGTTACAGAGCCCATTTGTTAAATTCGGAAATGTAAACTTTTGTAGGTAAATTCAAATGCCGGTTTGACCATGTTGAATAGAAGGAGGTGCAGAGGATGCAAAAGCTATGGTTGCTTTTCAGAACTATTTTTATTAGGGTTATTTCTAAGTCGAATAACCAGAATCAGCCCTTAGTGAATGTTGTAGTTCCAGAAATAGAAGGGAAATGTGTTTGAAAAATCAAGACAAATAAAGACACTAAGTACAGAGTGATTGGCCCAGCTCCAGTTTCCTCCTAGAGTCCAAAAACTGTCTGGTAGGATCATTGGCTGCTGGGAAAATCGGCCCGGGTATGTATCTGCGTGTGTGTGTGTCTGCATGTCTGCCCTGCGACGGACTGGTATCCCACCCAGTGCGTGTCCTGCCCTGAGCCCCTGGCTTGCCGGGATACACTCCACCTCCCCCACAACTCCGAACTAGAAGGAGCAGGAAAGGATGGATGTAGAATTGGACCCTTTCTTGAAGAAATTAGGCTTGTGCAAAAAAGTGGCGGACGTGCGTGGCTTACCCTGTCGAACCAGCAGCGCAGACTGAGCTGACCACACATGCAGCTCGTGGAGGAGCAGTCGTCTTCACAGACGCAGTACTGGGAACCAGAGACAGAAGACAGAATCCTTGCTGAAATACCAGCTTGTCTCATGATTTAGGTCCGCGTCATTATAACCTCTTAGCAGTTTAAAACGGCAGCGTCTTGGGCTAGTGCCATCAAAACACTGCACTACAACAGCAGGTCTCAAACTGCTACCTGTCCTTTCACATGGGCAGAGCTTGTCTACTAAAAGCTCTGAAACTACTGAAATCTAGTGCTTCGGGCTGAGGCCTGTTGCACAGCTTTCATTGTAAAACCGATTGTTTTACAATGTGAAAGTGAATTTAAAACTGAGAACACGATTTACACAAGGGGTTGTGGGAGCATGGAACAAGTTGTGCAGCCACATTGTGGAAGCCATTGCCTTTGCTTGTTTTAAGAAAGGGCTGGATGAGATCCCCAGATGGCCCGAATGGCCTGCTCTCGTTGCAACCCGTCTAATGCTCCTAACGTGACCTGCAAATGAATTAATCACCCTGCTTTTAACAAACTCCGGCCAGAAAAGTCATGCTCTGCGTCCACAATGCCAGTCGGAGCAAAACTGAGGAAACTCCAGAGGTGCCTCTCAATGTTTATACCATTAGTGTCCGTCTGTCCGGGGTGTCCAAACCTACTCCTAGGGAGACTGTCTCTGGAGGTTTTCCTTGGATCTCCCTGCAGCTGAGGAGCTGGGAGAGGTTGATAAATTGGTCCAGTTAAGGCAACCATGAGCAGATTTAGGTTAAGAGCAGAGCTGGAGTGAAAACTTGCAGATACGCCGGCCCTCCAGGACCAGAACTGCCCACCCATGTGAACTCCAGCCAGCCCTAGCTTCTATGTAAAGAGCTTGTAGCAGGTCAAGCCTGATGTGGTTCAACCTGCTTCAGGTAACGGAAGCCTCAGGTTATCCCTGCCCATGGGTCCAGTCACCTAGTCTGGGTTCCAGCCCTGGGCTCGTCGGGCTGGTAATCCTGTAAAGTACTATGCACAGGTGAGCCGGGCCTTACCTGCAGGTGCGTGATGTTCTTGTCAATGTTCATGGGGGAGGTGACGCAGTTGTCGGGGACGTACTTGTAGTTGCTGGGGCAGGGCTCGTTGTCCACGCCGTTCACACAGGGCACGGGGACCCTCTCGTACCCGCGCGCAATGTCCCTGGGGAGCCACAACAGGCACAGCATCACTACGACACTCAGGGCTGGCCGACTCCTGCTAGCTGGCGTTCGGCTTGGATGCTTTCCAGCAACTATTTTCCGATGAGCGCAAAGAAAAACTATAAAAAGCTCATCTTCTCATCATAAACATCTACGGTATATTGCTTATTTAGTGCTGACAGTTATCCCATTCCGTTGCTAACAAGTGACAAATTGGCCGTGTTCGTTTCATTGCTATCGCCTCCACAGCCTTAAGGTGAGGCTCTTCAAAAGCCTGCAAAGACACAGCTCTTTCCCAGTTCTACTTTTAGGATCAAAACCTTTCGATATTAAAAAAAAAAAATGATTAACTCGCTTCTGGAAGAAACTGAAAATGCAATAAAGAGGTGCCAAAATGTAAGTGATACAATAAACTTTCATGCTTTGTTAGCACACAATGGTGTGCTGCTAAAGAAATATAAAAGGAGATAGCCCACTAATTTACAAGCAAAACCTCTTTAAAACAAGCCGACTTAGTTTGCCCTTTCACTTGTGATCGCAAACGCTCTGGGGGTCCTCTGGGGGCGCCAGGCCGGCGGGGAGGCGCACCTGTTGATGACCCTCTCCTCCTGCCCGCTCTTGTGCGCCGTCGCGTCCTTCAGCTTCTTGCTCATCTGCAGGGCCGCCCACACCTTGGAGTTGAGGCTGCAGCACTCCAGGGGCGTCTCCCCTTCCCTGTTCTTCAGGCTGACGTCAGCCCCGCGGGAGAGGAACAGCCTAGGGGGTGGGGGAGGGGGTGGGGGGGGGTGGGGCAGGAAGGAAGGCCGGGCAGTTAGAGGGCGCGGCCGTGCCCGTCCCCTCCCTCGCCCGCCGTCCCTGCCGATCTGCGTCCCGCCGCGGGCGGGAGGGACACCAGCCGGCTCGCTCAAACGAGCTTGGGCGTGGTGCAAGAGGTGTGACCGAGATGAGGGGGGGTGCACGTGCTCTTGGGGGCCTGGACAAGGCCGGGGCACCCGATCGCCGCCACGTGGGCCGAGTCGGAAGCGATGCCGTGCTGCGTCCAGCGGCTCAGTGGACAGCGTCCACTGCCACTCCCCGTGGCCCCGTGCCTCTACCTGCCCTGTAGCGCTGAAAACATGACAGAAAGGAGCACCTAGTTTTCTAAACCAGCTGTGTGAAAACAGCGGTGTATTTCACGCCTGTCTGCGTCAGCACGGCTCAACTCCGGATTCTGGACCATGTTTTACCAGGTCTCATATCGCTATATCACCCTGCTATATCACCCTAAAGCCCAGCAGGTGTGAGCCTGGCCAGTACCTGGATGGGAAGACCTCCTGGGAGAAACTATGGTTGCTACTGGAAGCGTGTTAGTGGGGCCAGCAGAAGGTCTGTGCAGTCTCTGCAGTCTGTGTGGGTCCTAATGCCCCAGTATAGTGACGGGGACAAAAGGCACCGTCGGTCATTAAAAATCCCAGGGCGTTTCTCGAGAAGAGTAGGGGTGTTACCCCAGTGTCCTGGCCCAATTTCCCCCTGGTCTTTACCAGTCATGGCCTCCTAATAACCCCCCTCTCTGAACTGGCTCCATCACTCTGCTCTCCTCCCCACTGAGAGCTGGTGTGGGGGGAGCGGACTGGCGCATCCTCCAGGTGGGGCTGCACACTGGTGGCGGTAGTGGGATTCCCCACGACCTATACAGCGCTTTCAGTGGGGCGTCCAGAAAGGCGCGACAGAAGCGTAAGCGACTCCACGCCGATGTGACAGTGCGGGAGCGTGAACCAGCGCAGACCGCCGCGAAGCCGCCGGTGTGCGCCGCCCGTCGCCGGCGCTACTCACGCCACGCAGTCGTGCCGGTTCTCCCGCGCGGCGATGTGCAGCGGCGAGTCCCCGTGGACGTTCACGACGTGGAGGTCGCTCTTCGCGTTCAGCAGGATCTCGGCGATGTCCACGCACCCCGAGAAGGCCGCCCAGTGCAGACAGATGTTCTCCTCCTGCCAAGCAGAGGGGACACGGTGGTTAAGAGCCACACGAAACCCAGTGAGGAAGAGGCATTCACGACAAGGGAGCAAAAGAAGAAGGAAACCTTAACCACGCTGAGGCTGGTCATCCAGTGCACAGTAATTCTAAACATGGCCAAAAGCTCAGATTAGCAATGCCCATGGCTACTGAGGAGGTACTGAGCACACCCAGCGGTCCAGATGTGCACCGTCTCCCAGTCACAGCTGGAAAGGAAAGCTCCGCCACTGACCTTGTCTCGGATGTTGATGTCGGCGCCCCGAGAGAGCAGCAGTTTGACCTCGTCTATGTGCTTGTATTCTGTCGCCCAAATCATGGGTGTCCAGCCCCCGTCGTCCTGGAACAAATCAGGTCACCAGCAGGGATTCACTGTCTGTCTGGGGGGTGGGGGCTCTTACTGGTTCATTTCTGTGTGAAAGGGAACGCCCAACCTCCCGAAAACAACACTCCGGGGCGGCGGCGGCGGCAGATACCACAGGGTGGAGCTCTTCAGGGACGGGGCTGAAGGGGGGGGCGTGTGGCCCCACTCTTGCGATTCACCTCTCAGAGCTCATAAAGGAGCATCAGCCTCTTGTGTCTCAAAGCAGGTGCTTTTTTTTTAAAGAAAGTTGTGAATCAAGCACCTGGCCTGTGCTGCAAACTGATTAAAGTAAACCCTCCCCGAATCATCCGTGTCGCAGTCTCTAACTCTCTGCGAGACGCGGCCGCGTTTCCCCAGCTCCCCCGAAACCCCAGGTGACTCCATTACCTGGCAGTTGATGTCTATCGATCCGGTGTCCAGCAGGTGCTCCACGACGTCGTAATGCCCCTTTTTGGCAGCGAGGTGGAGGCAGGTCGAGCCCTCGACGTCCTGCAACGAGAGAAGGCCTCACTCATCGCGGCCCCGGCACCCTGGGGCTCCTGGCGCCCCGAGCTTCTGTTCAACTTCACAAGCCCCTGTGACACAGCCGCGCCCCACTCATGTACCCCCAAACTTAACCAGGGTTCTGTCGCCGAAGGACCTACTGCCTAAACCGGGTGGCGTGAACTTCAGCCCCCAGGGGGACTGCAGGCTCCTTCGTCTCCCTGACTGACCTGACTTTCCAATCGGCAACTGGGAACCTTTCTCTCCAGAGCCTCAGAACACTCAAAGCACTAAGCGAACCCTGGATCGAGGTCGGACCGGAAATTCTCAACTCCGAAAGACCTGCACTGTGCATGCGGGCTGCACTGTATATCTAGAGAGAGAAACTAATTCAGGGAATTGACTGGTTTACTAGTTGTAAAGTGAAATGAACCCAGAGGGCCTAGAGGCCCCGCTGGTCCGAGTCTGCCTGGGCTCTAGAGTTTCTGACTGCAGCCAAGACGCAGGTGAAGAAAGAATAAAAGCAAGACATCAGCTCGCTGTCCTGGCTGGTCTAGGGAGTGGGAGCCATTTCTCCTGATTTCTCCCGATTGCCTTCAGGCCTTCAAGTCTCTTCCATATCTACCACTTCACACCAAATAGACATCAGTGTCTTTGAACGTTTAGGAGAGACACCTGCTTGGATCTGATCATCTTATTTCACCTTTAGTGTCGGAAAAGGAGCCCAGCATCAAGGCAGGCTCTGAGCTGAGGGTGCGCCTGTGCGCGCGAGGGTGGAGGAGGGGGCTCACTGACCTTGTGGGTGACGATGGCCCCCGCGCTCAGCAGGTACTTCACAGTTTCCAGGTGGCTGTTCTCCGCGGCGTCCATGAGTGGCGTCCTCTGGTCCTCGTCGCACATGTCCAGATTGGCTCCGGCCTTTCGGGAAAAGGATGTGCGTGGGGGGGGTCAATTCATTCATTGACGGACTCACTTCGCCAATTGGACATTTTAATCAGAACGAAAACCCGTGTGACAAAAACCCTGTTCCCAGATCTCCGCGTGCTGGGGACGACAAGCTCTATTATTTTTTTTACACCGCCCGTCTACCTTGGGTAGGTGCTCAGTACAACGTTAGGAATCCGAGAAGGATCTTCCGGGTCTCTGCAGGCTCGGCCTGCCTGCTTAATCCGATATCAATCCCAAAAGCCCAGGAATTCCGACAGGGAGAGTCAGAGGCCGAGCACAAGCCCAGGCCAGGAAGTCCCCAACTGGGCGCCGAAGAGCTTCATGGGAAAGGACGTCTATTGGAAACGTGCGTTCTGCTCCTAGGCCGTACGGCCACTCGGCCTGCACGCAGATCACAGCTGTACAGAGACACTACATCGGCATTCTCCTACGAAAAGACTCCTAGGTCGGAATAAGTGTGAAAACAACAGCGTCCCCAAACATCCCTTCCAAGTCTGTGGTGTCGGACTCTTCCGCAGTGAAGCAGACATGGCCCCACCCCTCCCCTCCCCTCCGGACTGACCTGCACCAGCATGTGGCAGATCTCCTGGTGCCCGGCCTCGGCCGCCACGTGGAGGGGCGTGCGCTTGCTCTGGCTTTCCATCTTGAAGTTGGGGTCGATCCCGTCCACTGCCGAGAGCACGGAGAGAAGCCGTTACCCCGGAGCCAGCCGCCCCCACAGCGAGGCACGCGAGCGCGGTCGGGGAGCGGCAGGGCCTAACCGCCACGGAGCTCAAGACGCCCCTCCCTCCTCCAGCAGGGATCCCCCCCCAGACGGCGGCCAGCGGAGAGGCCCCAGCCTCGTTAGAAGACGGTTTATTCATCGGCGAGCCTCATACCCAGCATCATGAGCACTTTCTGGAGCTCCCCTTGCTTGGCAGAGATGTACAGCTGCTTTGGGTGAAACCTCAGCTTCTTAGGCCTGTCAGGGTGACAGAAGGGAGAGAGAGCACATCACAACCTGGCTCAGCGCCCGGCTCAGCCCCATGAGAACAGCAGCCTCGTCACCTGCCCCCACTTTTGTTCCAAGAAGAGGAAGGAGGGCACGTCGGCGGCAGCGAGACAAACCTGCTTCTTGGAAGCTACTAACGGGTGCAAAAGACTCTCCGACGTGCAGAGGATTTTCTTACCAAAGCAACAGATTTTAAGTCTTATTCCTCACTATAAGACAATAGTCGAAGGTATAACACGGCATTTCCTTTGCATACTAAATTTGTTATGATTTTTTTAAATGTAAACGCATAAATCCGATCTCTGCTGTGCTGCGACTTGCCTTCCCGGTCTTCCCGGGAGACAGGAGGCCCTTCACTGCTGGTGCTGCTAACACTGGTTTAAAGCCGATCTTGGGAATACGTCGGCATGCGTTGCATGGTTCAATCAGAGCTTAGGTTTAAAATAAGTTACTATCTCCGAACCCATCAAAGCATTCATTTGGAGCTGCGCAATTAAAGGATTGATGGGAGAGAGGCTGTGAACCGACATCTTACTTTGTGAAGTGGGGAACCGCCTCAGCATGCGCAGGCTGCAAAGGATAAAGTAGGTTTGGGTGCACCCGGAGAAGGCTCCACACAGCCGAAACGTTGCGTTTCTTTTCTGCTCTTTTCAGCAGGGAATAAATCTTTACTTGTTCCTTCGCATCGGACTTTGTCGGCCATCTGGTTCATCACGTCAAGTGAAAACTCATGTGGTCGTTGCATGTGACTTGGTATGAAGGATTAGGCGCAGTAAACAACACCTGGGAGCACAGAAGAGTCGAAGAACCGCTTGCCTCTCGTGCGGGCAGCTCGGTTTCTTTCCCCTGCAGATCTGATTATCTCAATCATGCCCTGGGTGGGAGGGCTTCAATTTCAAGCGCTCAACGCCTCAACTGCTTCACCCTACTGCTATACAAGACCGGCTGAACCATCGATTCGTCTGCTTCTGCGTGACCTCTGTGCTGGTCCAGGTGAATACAAGCAGGGGGGCTTCGGAGGGGGGCTTACTTCTCAGCATCCAGCGCCAGGAGAACGCTCTCCAGGGTTTCTTTGGCTGGTCCCTGCGACATCCCGGAGGAGGGGGTCACCGCCCCCCACCGCGAGCTGCTGGGCGACCCCGACGAGTCCGACGCCTCTGAGGGCTTGGGCGCGGAGCTGTCCGCCTTGTCCTCGCTGGCCAGCCTCATTCGGGAAGTGCTGGGAGGGAGAGGGGGAGAGAGAGGATGAAGGCTGGTCGGCCCCCGAGATCTGCCGGATGGCTTACAGAAACGGTAGCCGCAGGGAGACGAGACGAGGCAGCTGGTCCCCCCCTATTCCGAAGGCGTGGGCCCCCACAGCGGCAGGAGCCCCAGTGACAGGACCCGCCAGCGCCCGGCTCTCCTTAGGAAGGAGCATGGCGACACAAGCACAAGCACGTGGGGCCTGACCCCGACGCTCACGCAGAACAGAACCCAAGGGACTGATGGGAAGATGGGGGCAGGTACCACTGTGCTTGGGCAAAGCGCGAGTACTGTCAAGGACAGCGCGGCCCGACCCGAAACCGCCGGAGGCTGCGGCGCACTTACCCGCCTGTGGTGGTGTCGGCCTTCCCCTCGGTGGCGGGGGGGGGCTCCTGGCCGGGGGCCACGGGCACCATGGAGGTGGTGTCGGCCTTGGCGATGGTGACCTCCTTGGCCTTGCCGGCCTCCTCCCCGCAGTGCGGGCAGAAGCTCCGCCCGTCCATCACCGAGGCGCAGTCCTGGTGGAAGCGGTGCGAGATGTTGCTGTCTGGCTGGCATTCCATGAACGTGCCCTGCATCCCGGGAAAAAGAACGATGAACCGAGGAGGCTCGCATTTCAGGGACGGTGTCGTCCTTTCTCCTCTTCTGCAGACACCCGTTCTCACGTTCTTCAGTCCCCATCACCACAGGATGGTGCCAAGACCAGCTCCTTAATTACTTAATTGATCGTCGGCAGCATCAATGCCGTAATTACAGTGCTGCCAGCAACCAAGGGACAAAGCGGAGTAGCCCCGGGCCAATTTAAATTGCGACGAATCCAAAATCTGGGGGCGGTTCCGAGACTCTGCAGTTCCGAGTGTGGAACAGCCCTCAGGTTAAACCCTGGCTGTGTTTTATCTTTAAGTTCAACATGCGGGCAGAGGAGGAATAAGGGGCCTCTTTGGGATCCTTCAAGGTGAGGAGCGCCCCACGAACAAGGCAGAACGGCCCTCGGCCTTCGCCAGATTGGCGGGACACAGCGGAGGAGCCCAGCCGGCAGGCAGCAGGGTTGCTGCACGACCCAGCGGAGAATTTAAGAGCAGGACAGGCGCCATCGAGGCACCCCAGAGAGGAGCCCGGAAAGCCCCCGGCGAAGAGCGATCGGAACTGCCCTGTCCCGATTTTGGATGGCGGGGTGGCCCTTACCGCTCTGCAGAAGTAGCCGCAGCCGGGGCAGCACTGGTGCTTCACCATGCCGGCGCGGTGGTCCTCACACAGCACCAGCAGCTGGACCGAGTTGGACGGGCGCATCATCTCGTGCTTCATCACTCCGCTCTGGCACCGGCTCAGCTGAGAGAGAGGGGAGAGAACAGCGCCTGAGAGCGGGCCGGGCGGGCCGGGCGGGCCGGGCGCGGAGGCAGAGGGCACCGGGGGGTGCCCCCTTGCAGGCACAGGCGCCAACTGCCGGCACCAGCCTATCGGACGGGGGGGGGCTTGCTGACGACCCCAAAACAGATACGAGGAAGCTCAAGAGTGAAATCACCGCCTGTCCTGACAAGGCGTGGCTCAGCCTGCGCCGTACCTGCCCATCCACGCTCTCAGTGGCCATACACTTCTTGTTGGCCAGTGTCAGGATCTCCCGGCTCTTGGGCGTCTCCATCCTGCAGCTGCACAGGGGCAGCTCCTGCACGGCATCCACATCCATGGCTTCCGAGCTCCCGGACGCACCTGCGGAGAACCCGAGAGAGGGGGAGGGGTCAGCTCCCGTTTTCTCCACATCCCAACTCCCCATTCCATCCCCAAGAGCTTTTCTCAAAACCGGCCCGCATTTTCAATCCCTTAACAAGTTTCACATCCCCTCTAATCCGATCCGAGAGCAAGCGAACCCCTGTAAAAAAAAAAAAAACAGACCTGGAATGCATACTAATAAAAAGCAACAAAATCCCAATCACATTACAGGGAAGTCAACCGATGCTGCAATACACAGCAGCCACCACCAGGGGGAGAGCTCCCAACCCACTCTGTGCTAAGCCATCTTGGCAGTCAAAGTCCACAACCCTTCTCCAGCACGAGTCCAGGCCTCCCGCCTCCTCTCGGCTGCTGCTCTCCTTGGTTTCTCTCACCTCTGTGCTGTGAAGAGAGCAGCTCCTCCTGCACCTTCAGGTCCAGCGCGTCCAGGGGCACTTCAGTGTATTCCTTACTGTGGTCAGCCTGGGCGTGGGGCTCCGCCTCATTCCCTGGGCACAAACAGACAGACACGGGTTCACGTCTGTGGCGGCTTTCACGGCAATACTGCAGCGGGACACGCCCAGGGGAACCCGTAGGGTCTCGGTTCCCTCCCAGCCTGCCCTTCGAATCCACCTGCCCGTTTTCGAGCTAGTCCCACCGATACAGGTGAGTCGGAGCCCATCCCAGCAAGCAACAGGCGCTGGCGCGGACCCACGCCAGCGAGGGGAGGGCGCACAAACTCCCCGCGGTCTGTTCTGTCCTCCCCTGCCCTGCCCTGCGAGGCACCCTGCCTTCGAAACAGCTGATCTAGTTACCTACCGAAAACAGTTAAGGAAATGGCTCACTGCACAATCCCATCCCAGTAAATCCCACAGCAGGAATTTTGGCCCCTTTTGGACAGGATCAATCAGTCCTGAGGCACTGACGAGCGTCGGTCTCGGGGATCAAAGGGAGAGGCAGACGTGCAGAATAAGGGTCGCACACCGTCGTCCAGGGGACCCCCCCACCCGCGGAGCTCTTGGTCACGACAGGACCGATCCACAACCCTGGATACTGCTCCCTTCCCAAGCACGTGGGAGGCTGCCTCAGGCTCAAGCCCGCTCTTTCCCGTTATTCCGGCGCCAAGCCCTCCACCGGAACGAGACCCCCGGGCTGGGCTCACCTGCGGCCCCCTCGGCTTTGGGCCGGCTCTTCCGCTTGCGCTTCCTGGCGGGCCGCAGCCAGGGACTGTCGCTCTTCCCCTTCTTCTTCAGCCTCTTCCTCACGCTGGACCCAGAGCTCTGCGGAGCGGACAGCGGGAGGTCATGCTCCGGCCACGCGCAGGGAAGGGGGGGGGTCGGGGGGGGTCGGGCCCCCAGGGGGCAATGCTGAAGGAGAGACCCCCGCAGAGGCAGCGGACTCGTCCTCTCAGGCCGGGCTGCTGCAGGAGCCCGATCCAACCAGCACATCCATCCCCATCCACATCCACCCCCCCACTGCAGTAGGACATCCGAAACCCAGACCAACTTGGATCACACACCCCCCCCCAGTGAAAGACTGCTCTCCTCCTAAATCCTCTCCATTCATTTGCCAGTTTAAGCTTTTCACACCTCTCCTGTTCTCCCCGAGTTTGGACTTTCATTCTCACCTGCTGGCATATACCCCCCCCCCACACCTCCTTACCTCTCTCCCTCTCACCTGAAGGAAGCCCCACAGTCTGAGGACAGGCGTTTTGTTTCTTTTCTACAAGTTTCAGCACAGAATGAAACTACACCTGTGCTGTTGCAACCGGTACCTTAGTCAACCTCGAGTTGCTCAATGGAGTTTCGCTTAACGCAAGACAAACCGGCCAGGGCGCTAAACCACGTGGAGGTGCGCTCAAAACGGAGAGGAGGCACTTCTTCACACAAAGGGTTTTGGAGTTAAGAACAAGTCTCCCGGTTATGTCCCCTCCTGTGACCTTCTGGTCTTCCTACAGGTGAAAGAGGAGGAGCTAAGGCTGTCTAAACCTGCGCTAAGGAAACCCTCCAGATTCATTTTTACCAAATCCGATTCGTTCCCTTCTTCTTCCCCTTCTTCCTCCTCCGCCGATTCTTCTGATTCCTGCTCCTCCTCCTCGGCCTCCCCCTGCAGGCAACGCACAGGAAGAGCCCCAGTGACATCACACCCCTGACACACCTTGCCAGCGAGAGAGACACACTCTCAGGGTCAAGATCTGTAGAGGTGTCTTCCCATCACCAGTGTGAACTTGGCCAAATAAAGTCAATAGTTATAGCAGTTAGGTGACACTGCTATAACTGAGGGCTCTGGACAAAGAGAAACATGGATGACCAATAGCCCAGAGTTGTGCACCCGCAGTCTATCTTTAAACTCTTGACCTATGAACCTCAGAACCCCCCAACCTGGGCCCAACCAGCTCACGTCACTCTGCGCTGCGCTGTGGGCAGAGGTGCTGGGAGAAGTGCGATTCGCCCACCTTGTGGGTGGCGTTCGCCGTCGTCAGGCACCCCTCCATTGGCGTGGTCCCAAGGTCACCCCCCCCTGCCGGCAGCCACTCCTCCCTGGGACGCTCGCTCGCCTGCTCCTCCTCTTCCTCCGAGTCCTCTCCCTCCTCGGACTCCTCCTCCTCGGTCTCGTTTTCCACGGTCTCTCCGTTCACCTGCGCGCTCTCTTTCTGCGGAGCGGGAGACAAGGTCAGGGCAGGGCAGGAAAGCTTGGCCAGCCTGTTTAAGGCCCAGAGCTGGAGCCTGTCACGGTCTGGCGCTCCGGAGGTGACGGGCCTAGAGAGGCCCAGTTGAGGATTAATTGCACCAATTCAACCAGAAGAATGGTGCTTCTCATAAGCTGCAACACCAAGCATGGCGTAAGATTTTGCATTAGTAGTCTGTAAGACGTCAATAAAACCCCTTCGGATGGCGTGCTCCTCACCTGAGCCCCCGAGGGGGGGTGGGTCATGTTCTTGAACATCTCCAGCACCGATCGCTGCTTCAGCACTTTGGGTTTCTTCTTGGGGGCGAGACTGTACGTCCCCATCCTCCTCTTCTTCTTCCGGGACCCGGCAGCGGCTGAGCAGAGGGGGACAAGGGATGAAGAAGAGCGAAAGAGAAATCCGCCCTCTCCCGGGTCAGCGTGCTCGTCTCCTGCCATTTCTCCGGGGACAGAGAACCCCCCCCAGGAATGGAAACCCCTTGAGACTCCACTGGAAAGGGGAAACTGAAACGGAAGACCCTGTCAAACACCCGAGCAGAGGCGGGAATACCATGCGGACTCGCACCCAGAGGCACCGGTCCAACCCAGTAGGGTCCGAATCCCCCTGAACCCCGCCGGTGCTTCTTCCCCCAGGGGGACTCGCACGTGTCCCCACCGGTCCAGCGGGGCGCCGACAGCAGCAGCCCAAGCGGAGTACCTCGGGGTGCTCCGTCGGCCCCGAACGAACCCGCGACCTTTCCGGCGCCGCTGGCTACCTGGCGGGGGCTTGGCCGTGGCCGCGGCGTCGTTCTGGCTCCGAGGTAGCTGGTTCTGCGAGGAGGGCGCCTGGGGCGGCTTCCCGGGCTCCGCGCCGCTCCTGCCCCCCTCCTTCCCGGCGCTCGGCTCCTTCGGCTCCCTGTTGAGGAGCTGGAAATAAAACCACAGGGGGGCGGCGGGGGGTCAGACTCCTCGCCCCCGGGGACAGAGGGCCAGCCTCCCTGCTGCTCCCAGGCCTAGCGGGGGATTCCCTCTCCGGACCGTACGGACACGGCTCCGGGGAAACACTCCGGCAGACTGGCAGGCGGGAAGAGGGATCCGTTAGCGCGGAACGTCTGTTAAATCACAACGCCACTCTTACTGCCCCCTGCACCCACTATTGTAAAGTGAAACATGCATCCTCCAAATACATATATGACAGACATATATTTTTCTGAACAACTGCAACCAACGCCGTCCATGAAAAGAGTTCCTGTGCCCTTATCATAAATACACAGGCTTTTTGTTTCACGCGTCATTAATACGCCGTATAAAATTTGCTAAAGCATAAAAAACACAAACACCCAATAGTAAGCAACTACCCTGCAGCCACAGGGCAGTCCAGATATTCCTGAATTTGAAGGCCAGGCGGTGTTTAATTTTGCCGTGTTTTACTGTTGGTGCAGTTCCCCGTGGTTGCTGGGAATGCCCGCCTTTCCCGGTTTTACGGACGAAACTCCCCTTTAAGCAGGACTGCTGTGCTGGGAGAGGGTCACAGAGGTCGC